TCTCCACTCTGTCAATCAAAGACTGGATTTATCCTGCTGCTAAATGCAACGGTGCGTTTAGCCCGCTTCAGTCTGCTCTAGATTTAGTCACACCAACTTAGCTGCTGGCAAGTTCCTGCACCCTGCTGTACCGCTTCCAGATGTCGCTGAATCATGTCACAAGGCCAGCTCTGTCAGCTCCTCCTCGGCTGACCTTAATCACTTCCATTGAGAAATCCAGTGATTGAGACATGAGGCAGCTTCTGTAAAACTTAACTTGTGAAATAACTTGCCCTCTCTTGTAATGAATCCTACTTTTCTTGCCGACAGCTCCTTACCTCAACACGTTTTTAATATTATGGTCTTCATGTTAACCAGGCCTTCCCATGGCATCTCCCTGTGGCTAATTAGCCTTGCATGAGCAACACAAGCACATGGCTAATTTAGCATTTATTTCTCCATCACTGTTTCTTGCACTGTACTTTACACATGCTGTTTAAATGCTCAATTAAACTGTGGACTTCACCACAAAGCTTTGCTAACATGCCAGCAGCATCCCTGTGTTTAGCTGCAGTTGTAAAGCAATCCCTCTGTTTTTCTATTTGCTGTAAATGTGGTTAATATGGACGGGGGCACTCGAAGTGATTCGAGTCAACCACTTAACGGCTGAAGAACACTCACTCGTGTTCTGTATGACCCCTCGCTCTCTCAGACGCTCTCTTGGCTGAATTTTCATCCATTTTCAGTGTCTTTGCTCTGCCATATGATGACAGTTGTCTATGATTCACATGGCACTTGCAGAACTACCTCGCTGACTGACCCTCGGCAAGCACCTGTACTGAAAATCATTTAACCTTCACCCTGTACTCCTAAAGAGCTAGAGCTGTGGGTTTTTAAAAAAAAAAACAATTAAAAACAAGAAACAACTGCAAAGCATATACTGTTTTTTTGTTTTTTTGGTTTATGCTCAAAGGCTTAAAAGTTGTCTTTTCTGAAGTTCCCACATTTGTACTAGCTAGCTAGCTACCCACTCTTTGGAAAATCACCGAAAGCTTCTTTTCTTTCCAGGACTCGTGGACCTGTGATTATACCACCTGGGAGAAAATGCAACACTAGTCTTTCACTTCACTAATTTTTGGGACTTTAGATCCATTCACCCTTAATGGTGCATCTAGCTTTGCCTTTTGGACTTAAAAGAGCATTTGTGCTATGTTAGAATGCGGGAGGAAGATTGACAGTGACAGAGCTGCTTCCTGTTACATTTTATGAACATTTGTTGCACTTTTGACCACATGCAATGTCAAATTAATTTACAGTAAATGCCTTAATCACACTGTGTGCAGTGGTTAGCAATGCCACCTCACAGCAGCATAGTCTGGGTTAAAATCCTGGGTTCTCTCTGGTTATTTTAGCATGTTCCTGTAGTCCAAAGACTTACTTGAGTTAGGTTGACTGGCAATTTTAAATTTGCCAAAGGTGTGAAAGTGAGCGTGAATAGTTGTCTCTCTGTGATAGCCTTCTGATAGACTTTTGAACTATCCAGGGTGGACAGTACCTGGACAGCTGGGATAGCCTCCAACTACCCTGTGACTCTGAACTAAATAAGTGGAAGTAAATAGATAGATGGATGGTATCTGATTTACCAAATGAGAAAGATTTTCAGTCTGCAACTATCGGTTGTCAGTTTTTGCTATTGCAAAAATGAGATTACCAAGTGACACAGTCATTAAAACTTGTTCTAAATGCTGAATGCATCTGACAAAATCAAGTCTTTGTACTCCCACAAACTGAATGCAAACATGTGGGCTACTGTGCTATTACAGGTATTTCTCTGTGAGATAATGAGCCGTTACAGTCACACATGAATCCAGGCTGTGAAAGCCACGTGCCCAAAGTTAGTGGAGCATTTTCTACTGTACTCAACTTTCCTGAGCTTCATGCTACATTTCAGTGCCAAGCTATGTCCAAGAAGAAAATGTTGCATTAGTGTCACATACATGGGTACCTGGGACCATTATCCTCTGCTTGCCAATACCCTCTAAATATCTTTAGGAGGGTATTGGCAAACACTATAAGTGGGAGAGGATAATTTGTTCTTAATTTTTCACAAGAAAGTTATGATTCATTTTTTAAAATTAGGTTGTATTTTTTCAGTAGCCCTCCTGAGTACTATGACCAGCCAGTTGTGTGTATTAATCTGGCAACTCTGAGGCAAACATTGTGCTTTTTCTCACCTTTGTTGCCGAGTTCAGATACCATAACTGATGCTGGAATTAATCATGTCTCATTGTTGTTAGGAAAGCTGGCGAGTCATGTATAGTATTGACCACCTCTGACACATTACAAATGGCAATCAATGGTTTTGTTTGTTGTCTTATTTTGCTTGTCTCCAAAGCTTCTCAAAGGAGCTAATAATTGGAGCTGATAATTGCTACCAGGCACATAATGTATTGACCCAAGCTCTGTAATAAGCCGGTTGAATGCAGCCGAAAAACATTCCATGCCGGAAAATTGATATAAATAGCATGTCTCTTTGTGTCCCCTCCAGGCGAGACAGTGTTGAGTAAACAAATTCTCCCATCCCATGCTATATTCCAAATCCCGTCAGCATTCTCATTAAAATGTCAATGTATAGTCACCGTGTGGACTCTATGTTGTGCATTCTAGCTCAAAAATGCCAACTGATCACTAATGTTCCCCAGGTTCGACTTAATTATATGATTCACACCTAAGATTCCAGCAGCATGGGGAGAAAAAAAAAATCAGGCAATTTTTCTTTTTCCCACTGAGTTTTATGAGCGACTTATTATGTGATCAATCACATACAGCAAGAACAGACCAGAATCAATTAATAATTGAAAACCGTTAAAGTGCTAGAAGCACTGATTGGAATCTGCCTTAAGTCAAAGGCAGCTGGTGCGGAAGGGCACAGGGTTAAATAGACATGATTAATCAACCTAAGAATAGCATTTGCATCCATTTGAAACAATGCGTGTGTGTGTGTATATGTGTGTGTAGACAGTAGTGGTGTGTGTAGCTATACTCCAGACTAATTACACGTATGTTTGAAGTGTACTGTGCTTTCACATCAGGCAATTAGTGGCCAATTTAAACGTACTCACAGGTGTCACGTGGCTTTTATTTTGAGTGTCTTGTTGATGGATGTTCCCTCTGCCACAATGATGGCACAAAGTGGGCAAGTGAACTGCTCAGAGCTGAAAAACATTTTTAAAAAATTGAATTCTAGATGCTGGTGAAGCAACCAAACATGCTCAAACTTTAGCTTCTGTTATTTAGCAGTGGAGTCCAAAGTTAGTTGACACTAAGCACAAAAACTGTACTTTATACAAATTATAGCTCTGTGTGAAAGTGGTACAGTAATTGTTTCTACTTCAAACTCTGCAAGTGGAATGGACTTTCTATTGAATTCTATTGAATTTTCATTGTGCAACACCAAAAGAAAATAATCCACCCAATACGAATGAGCCCACTAAGTCTCTGAACTTCCACCATTGACTATTTGACATCGTAACAATCGAGCTGCACTGCAGAAACGATCAAATGTATTGAAAGCTGCTTCTCTACCCCCACCATGGAAATGTGGCAGTGCCTCTTTACTGCCATCTATAGGTGGCACCCAGTTATGACAGAGTTCTCCCAGTGATAGCAGCTTGAGTGTGGCGCTGCTGTTGGTTAGAGTCATTCTCCCTGGAGAAGCTGCAGCTAATCATTGCATCATTTCCTCAATTATTGACAGCCGCCCTGTTAAGTTCCCAGTGTTATAGAGAGAATTAACATCCATTAGAGTATTATTCAGCCTTCATCTGCGTGCCTGTGTGCGCCTGTGTGTTTGTATCTGTGTGGGGTTTGATTTTGATTCTAACTAGACTCGCAGCTCCAAGGGCTGAGAACGAGGAGCTGAGACATGACAGGCTCATCAAAATGTCTCACGATGCCGTGTGACTACTGCTGCGTCGAGAGGCCCTGGCCTAAAATTGACCCTGTCCCCACTGAGTTGCCAATCACCGCTCATCACATTAGACATGTAGACACACTCAGCTCCACGGTGCTGTTGAGCTGCATCTCTGCTCCTGCTTTATTTTATTATTTTTCCTCCTCCCGTTTTCCTCTGACACAGTCTCACATACTTCAGATACCTGCCTTTCACTGCAGCCTTTAAAAACTTTCACTGGATCGCCTATTGTGTGGTATTATAGTGCCACTTACAATGGACCAGCACCGACAAATGGCCTCTGATTGTACTTTGCCTCTGTCACTGCCACCCGCTGCAAGTTTTTACTGTCCTCCAGGCAGCATATTGCCCCCCCGCACAATAGTCTGGTGTATCTTAGCGAGGGTGTAAAAAGCCTTGCATGACAAGTTTTGCAAGCAAAGAAAACACCGGCATTATTGAGTTATTTGCCGATTTCTGCTCGTTTTGAGCTTTTAAAATCCCGCATTGCACTGTTGTTCAATTCATATACCATTGTCGAGAGAGATAACAGCAAATAGCATTACCTCAGGCTGAAAGGAATCCCGTTCATTGTGAGGCTGACTGACAAGCTTGTCACAAACAGCCATGTGCCTAATAGAAGGTATCAAGCCAATCTGTCTCTGAGCTTTGTGCGGCGGAATAGGCGTCTGTTGTTCTGTTGAACGGAAACTTTGAAAAGCAGTTAAAGTTGAATAAGAATATATAAACTGTTCTTTTCAGCTCTGACAATGCCTCTTATACAAGAACGAGCCAAAAACACATCTGAGGAGCGCTTTTTTTATACGGCAAGGGTTCATGCACGTAAGCCCGACACACAAGTGATGCAAACAGATAATGTAACAGAATCTCTTAAAGAGGGACAGAAACAGCCTACTTTGCTGTGGAAGGTGATGCGTTTTGGGAGCAATTTTCTATTATTATGTCTATCCAGTCAACAAATGTGAAACTTCTTTGTGTTTTGTAGTCTCACTTGCAATAACTAATCCATTATCCGCTCTTCCTCTGTCTCTCTTTTGTTCTCTTACAGCCGCCCTGCAAGTGTCTATATCCTTGAACAAAGTGGAGTTAAGTGTCGGAGAATCCAAGTTCTTCATCTGCACAGGTACACAAATGGCATGGCACCCACCCCACCTGCACGAGCTATTCTTTTTAAACTTCTCTATACTCTTTCTTTGAAACTTTTTTTCCCCTCCTTTGGCTCTTTGTGATGTCATGAGTGCAGAATGAGAGCCAATCAGAAGAAAGGTTGGCTTTAAAAGAAAACACAATCTGATATCCGTGTGTTTGTGTTAAACCTTTGTCCCTATCACTTTGATCATAGCACTGACATTCAGTGCTATGATCGCCAGACCGGTCAAACACCCCTTTTTGTTTGTGCAATGTTTTAACTAGAGATGGACTGATCCGATATTACGTATCGGTATCGGTCCGATACTGACCTAAATTACTGGATCGGATATCGGAGAAAAATAAAAAATGTAATCCGATCCATTAAATATCACGAAAGCACCTCACAAAACTTGCCACACTCCGTAACTCACCTCAGAACGTTAGCACGTCGGAGCAGTATGCATCACGTGATAGAGCGGCTGTGGCATGCGGGACCTGTCGGTGGTCTGGATAGCATTTGGAGCTTCGCTAGCAACCCGGCATTTCATCTCCGACAAAGTTATCCCCGAGAGAAGTAAAGCAAGTGTGTAAGTCCATCTCTGAATGTTTGTAAAGCATTCCTGCGTTAAGCTTAACAAGCGATATATGGAGCGACTTCCTCTTCTTGCTGCTTAATGATCAGCTGATCGGCTTTTCTGTCGTGAGTCCGTCTCTCTTGTTTGCTTTTGGCCCACTTTGCACCAGAAAGAGGAAACCAGCGGCTGAACAACAGCAGCACGTTTAAGCTTGATCAGCTGTTGTTAGAATTTATTTAATATTACTTTCTACACCAGGATCTTTTTCTACGTAGCTGACGCTGGTAACTGTGCAGGGGCGGATCTAGCAAAGTTTAGCCAGGGGGGCCGATAGGGCATGAACAGGGAAAAGGGGGCACAAAGACATACTTTTCTTTCTTATTCTCATTTAAAATGTCGAGCTTTTAATAAATAATTATCCGAATCTTACACCCAAAGTTTTAATTTGATGTAAAATGAATAGAAGTCAATTACTGTATATAGTAACTATTAAGTCTAATATATATACCCTAGTAAGCTATAGTACTTTTTCCTTTGGGAAGGTACCATCTGTGCAGTCTGCAATTTTGTTGAAGAAAGATGTTGAATCTATTTAATATTTCTTGAAAAATAATTGATTTCTGTGCATTTTTTTTTTCACACTGCATCAAATTAAGGTTGATTACGTCGACTAAGCATCATGAGGTGGAGCGTGTCATATTGAAAAAATAAAACATGTATTGTACAGCTCTCTCTACTCATATGATATATTACGTGATATGATTTGTTGAGAATATTTTTTAGGGTCAGCTTTTTCCTTGTGTGGTGAACCCTTGTGAAGGTCAAGCTCAAATGCTTAGCCAAACTCATGTGCCCGAAGGTCTATTGATCCATAACAAACTGGTAGCAAAAATTGATTTTCACCTTGACTTGATTTTCACCAAAATTAAATGAGCTTGAGCTGTTATTGATGTCGACCATCAAAGAAACATCGAAAATGATATCTTGAAAACTGTGAACACTGGATTGTTAACATAAAGACAAACAAGCTGACCTGATTATGTCCTGTAATTACAAAACTGAACTCACAAAAATTTCATTTTTTGTAGACCCACTGTAAAAAAAAAAAAAAAAAAAAAAAAAAGGTTATTAAAATACATTTAACAGTCCACAAAGTTAAGCCCGTCTTCACATTTTCTAAAGTCATCCTGTGAGGCTGGACTGGAGTCTTTGCCAAGCTGATTCTAGGCCCCGGGCCTTATGTTTGACACTCCTTTCTTACGTCATAACAAAGCTGGTTTAGGATCAACATTGCACTGGACCAATCATATTGTCTGAGCTTTCAGTTAGCATTAGCCAAGAAGTTAGCTAAAGCTTCACTAGCAAACCATCCTGGGTGATCTAAATTTGGCTAACAGCAAACCTAACTTGATAACATATTTATTATACTGTATGAATTAACAAAGAATTTAAATGCTTACCAAATTCCTCATTGTTTTTTTCCTCAACACTCCAAAGCAACAATGTGATTGGTCAGTAGCAATGCTGATCCTAGACCGATGTTATTATGATCATTCAGGAACAATACCAACATGAGGATATCATATACACCTTAAAAGGAGAAGAGATAAAATGACTTTCACTTCACTACAGCCCAGTATCAGATAAACAAGCATTATTTTGATTTGATGATGGTGCAAAAGTCAAAGAAGTAAAAGGAGGACGTTGAAAATGACCATAAAGGGTCTCTTTTTAATATTATGCATATGTATTGTATCTGTGACTGTTTGGAGGCAACGGTGGGAGTCTTATATCATCGCTCATGAATGTCTGTTTTTCTGACAGATAACATAAAACAATCCATAACCTCCATATGGTGAGGGACTCTTCGACCCCACTGTGACTCAATCCACACGGGGTCGGGGGGGATGCTCCTGGCTTACCGTTCCTCCTTCTCATTGTCCTCTCTGAACATCATATCAACATAGCAGAAAACCCGATGGTGGGAGCCAGTGGCTCAGTGGGGTGGCGGCACACTCTGGCAGCCCAGGCCGTCCCCTGCTGACTGCCTCTTCTGCCCTGCCAACACACTCAGTGTGGAGCTAACAGCAAAGGGACTAGATACACGTACTGGGAGGAGCATCCAGGGGGCATCGAAGTCTAATACGAGCTTCGGTGGGACAGAAAAAAAACAGAAAAATAACCGAGGCGAATGGAATCAAACTGGCAAAGATTGAAAAGTTGGAGCTTTCACTGTGGAGAGCTCAGAAGTGAGAAGAATGGAAAAGGCTTTGAAAAAGAATTGTAGATGTAGGTGGGAGATAAGTTGCCACCATCTGCTGTCAAAGTGCACGGGAGGAGGTGTTTGTGTCACACGCTGCTTTCTTTTGGCCTTTTTCACCACAGGCGGCCACGCCGAGCCTGAGTTTTACCATATTCACATGCATTTCTGCCAACTGAGAAACAGTGAGAGACAAGAAAAAGAGAAAACTCAGTGAAACTGAGACCCACCCGCAAACAAGTAAAGTGACTTTTTTTTACCTTTCAGTCGCCACATAGCACCGAATGAATTAGGCCTATGTCAATATTGTGGCGAGCTCAGACAAGGAGGAGACACAATTCCGTTCGGTCTTGCTCCCCCGCCCTCTTAGCCAGGGAGCACAGCCATTTATTTACATCTGCCAGAAGAACACTGCCGCTAGCTAACTGCTCAGCGCGGCAACAGCACAGCAACAACAACAACACACAGGGCGCCCTCTGACCCCGGAAGGACACACCGTCGCAGCGAGAGGGCGTTACCCGTCACTATGGTAACATAAACAAAACATAACTGTAAAAACAGAACCCCGAACAGCCCTGACCCGCTTCAATATCGATAAAAGGAAGGATCAGAAAGGGCAGAGAGGCAATTGTGTCGTATGCTGATTCACGGATTGGAGAGCAGGAATGAGTACGTTTCTCTTTAAAAAGACAAAAAGAATGTGAGTTGAAGTGATTTGTGTATTTGATGCCTGTCTTTCTTGTTCTGAAAAGTTTGCCATGAAGAACAAGCCAGAGGGTTACTGATAGACACATTCTTTATATCAAAAGATTACAACCTCTCTTTTTTCTTAAAGACATTAAAGCAAAGGTCAAAATAAGGTCAACTGTGAGTCAACGTGGTAGCCTGAAGGAAGAATCCTTTTATCATATTGGCTGAATGTCAGTGCTTTTGCATTATTCATGTCTGATCTCAAATCTTTCTTTTAAATAATTTCAGCTGAAACTTTATCAATTTCATTTATTTCAAAACGCCTCAGAAATGGCTTTTTAAACCTTTGCACACTGATACATGGCATGGCTTTGTTTCTTAGCGGCTTCTTTAGATCGTGATTTGTGGTTGGTGTGGCAGCGGAGAATAGTAGGGAAAGGGTGAGAAGGAGGCAGATGATGATCTACTGTGCTGACAGTGGGGAAGGGAGCAGCCTATAGAAGAAGGTTTCCAACTCTCCAAACAAATTTCAAGTAAAAATGATAAAGAAAACTCAGCTGCTCTGCTAAGCGTGGCTGTGTAAGTGTGCATCAATTACATTTGATTGACATGGACCAACTCCATGTTGGTCCATGAAACAGCTGTTAATGCAAACTGCACAACTTTCCCAGTCGAAGGAAATGCAGTCAGCTCGGTGGGATCCAACATGAGCACGTCATTTTTGAGAGTTCTGTTCTTACTTTTTTATTAGGAAAGTCACTTTAATTACTTTGGAATAAGATGTTATGCACTTTGACGCACCAGGTAGTGCTTAGAAACATGAAACCCAGTCTACTGTCTACAGTCATGAGCTGTGTCCTAATTCCTAGGCCACATCCTTCGAAGGACTTGGCCTTTGTGGTCTACATGGGCCGGATCCTTCGAAGACCGAGAAGGCCGGAAGGCTTTGAAATGGGACGGTCTAGCCTTCAGATTTGCATCACCAGCTCAGCCAAACCGATTTACTAAGGAACAAATAAAACAATGAAAAAGTCAAACATGTTAAACCTGAGTAGCGAAAGACCTGGGGTCTGAAAACGATGTGCTGGGAGTCCTGTGTTCTCGCTGGCTCTAATGAGCCTCGACCTCCCAGTCGGCTATCGAGCTGGTGGGTAACAGATGTCTCCGAAAACGTCAGAGCACTTTTGCAAATATGTGATGTCTTGATGAATCGAGCAGATATTTGAAGTTTACACAGCTACATTCTCGCCTGAAAATATGCTAAAAGTTTATTTTGTGACCCAGAAAGAGTAATATTAAAACTAGATAGCTGCTGCCATTGTTGGAAACTGGAATTGGCTGGCCGTGCTATGAATTCTGGGATAGGTTGGGCCATGAAGGATACACCCGACCCATCCTTCCTTGTCGGACGCATTTGAAGCAGCCTTCGTCGCCTGGCTGTAACATAATCGGCCTTCAAATGCGCCC